CTTACTTCAGAAAGAATCAACTCGATGAAGTGTAATCTACTAAGGACTTGCAATTTGGTTGCAATGACTGGTTAGGGTATAGTGAAATATTTGTTCAATGACAGGATTCTATGCAGCATTCTCTTCTTTGTCTTGCTATCATGTGGATGCATGGGCTTTTGATCTCAAAAATTCATTAAAGCTGGGTCAATTGGTTTTAAATAAATTCTAGAACCAGGTGCCAATTAGATTATAGAACTATAGAAGTGGTTGGTTTCAAAACTATTGCCTCAGGACTTATTTTTATGGCCTTTTCCAGTAAGCTAAAACCTGCATGTGTTAGAATGCGCTACTTGATTCTTGTGCAACAATTTTAATGCCACTTTTCATTTTCTATATACCTGGCTTTAAAAGAGTTACAAGTACCAGTATATCTCTCCAAAATCAAAATTCAATTGACTTACAAATGGATAATGCTTCATGCCAGAGGAAATTTCTTTAAAAGATAGGTAATCCAGCACTTCCTAGTGTAAGTGCTTTTTAATGTTTTGCTTGTGCGTTTATGGGTCTTTTTTCTCATGATAGAAATGGCACAATTCAGATAGACGCAGTGTTTGAAAAATACAACTGATGGGCTGTTAATATCGATATTTGACTCTCTTTAAAGCAATTGGAGAACCATTTGAATAGCTTGAAAATTGATTTTTTTTTTGTTGTTGGGGGGGGGGGGGTTGTGGAGGATTTAGATTCTTCTCTTTTATATGTGGTGCTTTTGTTTCCTTTTGGTAGAAATTTGAGCCATGTGCTTTTTTAGTCAATAATCATAAAATTGTTTCTAGGAGGAACTCTTTTATCTGTATTAAACTGTTTCTAAACCTTCTAGTTGAGTGCGATTGCCCACAATTACTTTATTTCTGTCTCTTCTGCAGTCTAGGCAAAAAGCTCTTGCAGATCTACACCAGATGAAGCTGTTCAAGTGAGTGAAATTATTTGCTTAGTCCTGTACTCTTCTTAATATCTTTCTTAAATTTGCTGATTGATAACAATACCTGTCTGCCACATATAGAAGTCTCCTACCAAATGATGCTGTCTGCCATTATGAATTGGACATCTTGCCAGTTAAAGTTTCCCTTTCTGATCTCTCTCCATCATTGAATTCGGTGTAGCTACTTTAATAGGTTAACATAGATGATGTTAGAAAAGATCAGTTTTATAGCTTAAGGGAGAAAATGATGTCCGCAATGCTAGCACCCATAAAAGAAAAAAAAAAAAAACATTTCGTGTCATATCCTTTAAGATTACTGTTGCATACCTATACAGCCTCTATTTGTTCACAACCAAGTAATTTACAAAATTTTCTCTCTTTTTATATTTTTGTTAATGTTCACCATTCTTATCTTTCTATCTTCTTTTTTATTTTTAGGCCTGACCATGCAGTTTTCCACATGGTTAGAACTTAGTGTCTACTACGTCTTTTATTTTTGTTTTTATTTGTTATTGTTATCACTGATTTTGGTTGAGAAGGTACGTCTCTTTAGTATAGAAATAAGATGAGCCACCAAGGGATGCAACCCACTGAGACATGCTGTCTATTTCCTAAACTTCGTTATTTTAAATTCAAACTGTAAACAATGGCTGTTTGATCTAAGAAGTACAATATATTCCAGAAAGCTATTATCAGCTTAAGCACACTTTTCTGAAATGTGCATCCTAGGGTCTACTTCTATGCGTTTTGTTCAAAACTAGTCTGCCATCATGAATAATTTCTCAAAAGCTGTTCATGTTCATGGATCATGTTGTGTTCAACAAAAATGTTCATGAGCTATGGATAATACTATTTTCTCCCTTGGTATGTGTGCTGTTTCAGCAATAGAAAATCAAGTTATCATGGATAGTTTTGGCCTTCCAGCTTTCTTCAGTCTCATTGACTACCCACAATTTCTAGTTCTGTTGATACTTATCCTAACCATGCTATTTTCTACTTGCTGCATATCTTGATATTACAGTTGCTTTATTTTGTGCCATTTTTTGGATATAGGTTCCTGCACAATATGCTTCTTGTCATGTTTATTCTAGATTGTGTGGCCCTGAATGAATGCCAGATAACTGTTTCAAGTCTGAGAATCGTATAATGTTGTTTACATCAAGCTTTTCCTTTTGTATCTTTTTTTTTTGGGTTGCTTTTTCCTGTTTTTGATTGAATCAGAAATGCATGCAGCATGATTACATTAATTGATACTATTTGCAGCTTGAGAAGCTAAGTGACAAACAGTGTCAACCAGAGTCACAGCTCAAGTTTATTATAGAGGCCTGGCTACAGGTAAGCTAATTTTAGCTCTATTGAAGTATATTTATGCTCTGCTGTTGTTATGATCTGCATTTGCAATTTGCAGATAGTGGAATGTAGGCGGGTGCTGAAATGGACCTATGCTTATGGATATTATTTACCGGAGTATGAACATGCCAAAAGACAGTTCTTTGAGTACTTACAAGGTCTACATTTTCTAGGTTCTGGAAGCAGATTTCTCAGTATGTGTTGGTTGCTTTTCTGAGTCTGAGTTATTGTATACTGTAGGTGAGCTGAGGCAGGATTGGAAAGACTTCATCAATGTGCTGAGAAGGAACTACAAGGGTACTTTGAAGCTGAGGGTCCGTCAAAAGAATTCAATGAGTTCCGCACAAAGCTTGCAGGACTTACCAGGTAATAAACTGATAGTGTCTCTGATGATGTTCTCATCTCAAAGTTCAGGAATTCTGGTGTAGAGTCCAGCCAAGATTTCCTATCTCTCTTTTTTTTCTGAAACTACTAGTCCTCTTTTTTCCACTACTATCCAAGGCAGTATTTTGCATTTTCTCTTGCATTATCTGGTGCTTTGGTCTCATATTCTGTGCTCTCTTCGCTCCTTTCTGCCCTATTCTTTAACCTGTTTTGACTTGCTTCGTGCCTAACTTGGATCTCATGCATTGCTTCCTTTCGCTACAAAAGATCAGATTCAGACAAGCAGATACATTGTCTTTTGATACCTTACCTCGTCTAATTTGCAGCGTACAAGGAATTACTTTGAGAATTTGGTCCGAGCTTTAGAAAATGGTCTTGCAGATGTTGACTCTCATGGAGCTTGCAGCCGAGCAGCTAGCTCAAAAAGTTTGGGAAGTGGGAGCATTAAACTTAAGGGAATTAGAGGGAAGGGAATTGGGTCCAGGTCAAGTAGTAATTCTAGAAATATTGATGATTCAGGACACTGGTCATGTGACTACTGCACATTTGCCAATGTCAAGTCAGCTACCGTGTGCCAAATGTGCCAGCAATGCCGTTGAGCTGATTTTTCAGAGTGGCTATTGGATAAGAAATATCTGGGTTGGGTAACATGGCTGGTGGTGAAAAGTGGAGCCATGTTGGCGGAAGCTAATACTCCGCCTTCCCAACTGGCTAATGTGCTGACCATGAAGCACCAGTTTGGGGTAGAAAATGAGAGAGAGGAAACCCTCTATATGGAAGGCTTTGGTTTCATCGATTACAATTGTAAATAATTTGTGGTCTTGTAACGTCTTAGCAAGGTCAGCAGGCACAAATTGACCTTGTGCTCTGGATTCTATTGCTAGGGGATAGCCTGTTGTATGTTTGTATGGACTGTAAATTGCTGCAATTACCGGCGGCAGTAAGCCCTTCGATTTCAACTTTCCATATTTGGGCCCCGGAGGACTCCCAAGTGTTCTCATGTGTGTCATTCAAGATCTCCTTTGTTTTCTACATCTATTGAAGCACTTTTGGCTACAAACAAACTGTATTCCTCTTGATGAAAGTTACAATATACTTTTTGAGTTTGGTCAATTGGTCGAACTTGTTGTGCTTCCCTATCTATCTATTCCTATATTATATTATTGCTATTACTATATTAAAATTGTGATGAGTCTTGACATTATTGTAAGCTGTAAGCATTTTTTTTATCATTTTAGTTTTTTGTTGTGTGCCCATATTACCCTCAACTTTCAACTAGAGTTATTGCATTTTAATATAGGTAGTAATTAAAAATATGAAACATTCCGAATGATTAAATCTCAATAATAATAGTAATTAGAATAAAAAACTCCCTATTAAAACTATTTAGCAACTCTCAAATTTCACCTTTAATTCTTATGTGCACCTGAAGCAATTTCTTACTTGAAATGGTGTAATCAATTGCGTTACAACAATTTAAGATTGTAAAAAAATATATTAGTATCAAAAGAATAGATGTTCTTGAAACGAAAGAGAAATATATTAGAAGAAAAAAATTCATATTCATTTGAAGAATTTTGATATGAATATCGTGCGATAGATATATAATTATGTACTTTTTATTGGTATGAAAAAATACTACAAGAAAAGTAAAAAAACAAAAGAATCCAACTATTTCTACAATTATTTATTTTTTTTTTTTTAAGTGAAAAGTCTCGATCCCAAAATCTCTTACTTACAATTCATCACACTTTACTCCTACTATAATTGAATGTCAATTGACAACTAGATAGCCAATCTAATTGAGCAATATAAATCATTTACATTCTTTATTCATGACAATAACACTTAGAAAAAATGTAAATAAAACAATGCATCTCGCATTATTCAATTCAACATTACAAAACAAAAAAGTTGAAAAGTTAACTAGAAAGATATAAAATAGGACAATTAAATATTCATGTGAATTTAGATACGAGCAGTTCATATATTTCATGTTTAAATAATTAATTCATTCTAATTGTAAAATTGCATTTTTTGTTTGTCTTAGGAAGGAAAAATAACATTCAAAATGTTATAGCAAACAACATTCAAAATGTTAATACAAAATTTTTCATTTGTTAAAATTTGTTGATTTCATCAAAAACTTAACCATGGGTTTTGTTTTAAATAAAAAAAAAAAGAAATCCACATCTAAATTCTGGCTGATAAACGAGCTTGCCTAGAAGTAAAGGAATGGATGAGTGCGGTGAAAATAATTTTAATACGCACTTTTCGGACAGTTCCATACGCACAAGCATCATAACAAAGGTTTCAACATGTCACATTTTCCAAGTAAGGTACCAAGAAATGTACATTTCCGTTCAGATCCTACTCCAGGTACCTTTCATTCCTTTATATCCAATACAGAGAAGACTTCATCATCTGTTATAGTTTATCTCAGTTATCAAAATTCTCAAAAAGAAAAACTGTTTTCCGATGGGGAGTAAAACTTCCAAACTTTTTCTTTATGCAAAAACTGACTATTCTATTAATGACTGAGTACAATACAGAGCTGTTAGTATCCTTTTTTATCCTATTCTGAAGGAGCTCCTTCCAAATGCTTCGAGAAAGGGACAGAAATTCTGTTGTGTATGGCCATCATTGTTTTATCTTAGGGAGTAGAAATACATTAGTATCCATTCTGCAAGCCTTGCCTTACCTTTTCCTTCAGCATTATAGCAGGGCCAAATGTGCTATTTTGAAAATAACTGATGCTGCAGGACCAAGACATGCCAAATGTTTGCCACATAAAATGAAGTTAGTGCTTTGTTGTTCCAGCATCCTGCAAAACTACAATCGTTTTAGTAACTGCATAAAAATTTTCGAAGCAATTTTAAGAGGCAACAACAAAATGTAGCTTGAAAAGGGATTGAAGCTTACTTCTTTATACTGCTTCTTAAATGTTCCCAGTTTTGTATATAGTATAAGCCAGCATCAGAGGAATCAGGAGGCTATATAAAGGGAAATGAATGATAGGATTCATCTCGTATGCTTTCATGAGAACTCTACAACTCTGTATTTTAGAAGTAAAAGGAAGCAGAGAATTTATGAGTTCTAATTTCTCATACCATCTAGGGTTGGTTAAATTAAACTAAACATGGTATGCATCAGTTAAGCTTTTGTATCAAGAGAAGAACTGCATTTATCAAGCAAAAGGGGTATGTGAATATGTAACTTAATTAATAGGACAAAGGAATAAAAAGAAACCCCCGACAGCTGATTAGAGAAGACTTGCCTTAAAATGCACCCAACAAATTGCCAAAGAAACTACCAGGAGTACGTTTCTAGTCCACCTCTCTGAGGAAAGGAAGTGTGATCTGTTATGTCTGCCATCACTAGATGGTGCATATCCCCTTATTTCTGATTGATTTTCATCTTTTTTCTTTCCTGAGAGTGAAAGAAGATAATCACGATATCTTCCCCTTTCAGCAGCCAATCCCCCAATTACCACTATTGCAGGCAGGACCACAAAAAACAGATGTGGAAGAACGACAACCATTATGTCTGGAAACCCAAGAAATTCTAAATTCCCATTCTTGTTGGGTTTCAAAACCCAGCCTTTGTAAGTCATGTACCCCCTTTCTTTGCCATCTGTAAACACTTGGCCAAAAAGCCAAGGCATAATATGAGGTAAAACAAGTAAGCCACCAAACAGCCCCACAGGATTGGAATATTATACAGCTCCGTGAAAATCCAAGCCAGACAATTTAAGAATCCTCTATTGGCTATGTAATGCTTGTAACTGTAGTGCCTTCTAGAGAAAAAGAGTAAAATTTTTGGAACAAGAATGGTAGACAGAACAAGAAAATAGAAGGACCAGAATATCGGGAGATAGAGCGCAGCCCAATGACAACCCATCAGGATAAACTCTTTCCAGCTCCACGAAAGCTTGGCATGAAGACCATTTATAGAGAATGGTCTCAGTTCACTCAAAGTTGATCTACCCAAATTATCTACAGCCTCTATTTGCAGCAAATATCTCTCAGGAGATGGATCCTCAAAAGCCTTAAAATTCCAAGGGGCAAAGTACAGATCTCCCTAGAAGAGGTACTCTCCAACTTTCTAAGAGATGTCTCCACCACCTCAAGAAGATATCCAGGCCTTGAATCATAGATCCTAGCCACAACTGACACAATTGGAGAAGCAGAAAATACCAGAACTCTAATAGTCTCATATAATGAAAGATCCATTGAGTCACAATTATGCTTGTGATATGATGCTGCCATAAAGCGTGAGTCCAGTGGAAATGTTGGCAGTATGATAGTGTTTTTAGCCCCCAACTTATAGTCAATGTCAATAAATGATATATGACCTCTATCAATGGCCAAGATGCGCATGGCTCTACTCTTCCTCCAGTCACCCATTTCCCACTCCCAAAATTCTTCCACAGATGTCAATCCATCTGAACAATCTTTTCTATTATCGAAAGGTATTGTATTTGCATTGAACTGGATCATTTTATGAGGGTATAAAGGATGAATGGATTCATGACGCCGTTTTAAATTCTTACCAAATTTTGTATGCAGATGGCCACATATGTAAGCTGATAAGGAGTGCAGTAAAAACACATCCTCTAATGTCTTTCCAGAAGACGAGGCTGCAGAAAAAGAAAGGGGAAAATGACCAAAGGAAATCTTGGTTATTGGTTTGGCAGACTGAGAATCCCACTTTCTGAGTGCAGAACTTAGTTGACTCAATAATTCATCCGTTGGATGGCCAAAAAAGTTAGTTGGGCCTCGCAATCCTGAAGATGATGTGGTGTCAATCCCAACAAAAAGAAGCTTTCTTTCACCAGTCTGGATGATTACATACGCCATGAAAGTTATGAGAATACAGTAAAAGGCAATAAAAGTAACCTATCTCAATGGCATGGTAGCACTACTACAAAAGAGTAAACCAACATAGATATCACCTAGCCCAAACCTTTCATTGACATTTGGAAAATGAATGACATATGAAGTAGATGATCACTGATAAAATGAGTAGTAGAAAAGTGAGTGTATATTTAAGAATGACAAACTGAGAAGAAAATTATCATTTATGCTTACTTCTTAGGATCTGCAATTGGAAAAAATATAGTACGGAGCAGCCATCTGCACATTAAAAATTTTACTGGTTTATCGAACCATCTCAAAAATTAGATTACTAATCTACAATTTCCTGGTTTATTAAAAAATCTAAACTTCTCAATCCTCAAAAATTATAAGTTTTGCCTTTGCAGACTGAAAGAATTTATATGACACACCTGCTTTGACACTGTAAGGGATAGTAAGAATATAGAATAAGAGATCCAGGCCTCAAAATCCCACTATATGTCCCAGGAACAACCAGTATTAACATGAAGCAAACATGACATGACATATATAAAGGACATTATCTACAAAATATGATTACAAGGAAGATGGCATGCAAGCTGCAGCAGTAGAATGGTGACAGCAAACAGGATAATTACCTGAATGATGATGCTATCAACTGGCCCATTTCTCCCCAGTTGCCCGTTGAGGCTATATTTAGAGAAGAAATCAGATGGGCCACCAAAAGATGATACACCAAAATTGTCGTGATTCCCTCTAAGGTCATGTAAGATATGGGTGTGTGGGAATATAGGTGTGATTGCATATCTCAGCTCTGAGAGTCTAATAAAATGTCAGAGAGAATGGTGGTCGTCATGAGCAAAAAACTAGGGTTTGCATGAGATGAATGAAAAACCAGCCCCGAGCTTAGCTAGCAGAGAGTGGGATTTGAGCTCATTCGATATTTTTTTAACTATAAAGGAGAAATGCAAAAGAAATAAAAAGGAGCATAGCCCCATGCATGCGTATCTGTGATCAAAATGTATTCTCTCACAATATCGAATCATCTCATAAGCTAACAAAGGCCTTGGAATGCTCATTCTCTCTCTCTCTCTCTCTCTCTCTCTCTCTCTCTCTCTCTCTCTCTCTTCTTGGTTTGTGTTGTAATAATCCAACCCTAGAGGGTTGAGTGGATACTATGCTAACTTGGGATTCAAACCCTTTGACTTGGACTTTCAGACCTCCCAATCCCATTTTGTTTTTTGCTTTGGAGATGGGGGGGGGGGGGGGGGGGAATAAATGAAGAAGTGAGAGAGATGTAGAGACAAATTAAACAACCAAAAAAAATGGAAAAGTTGTATTTTCTTAACTTTGTGAGTGAGTTTCATGCCTTTCTTACTTTTGTTTATTGAGCTCTAACTTACTTGGACTCAAAGGTCCTTCCTTAGAGGTTGCCATGAGCACAAGTCAGTTTTGCACACCAATGGCCTCTAATGCTTTTAGGCTAGACTGGTCTTAGTTATTCTGGGGTTTTTGGGGCCAAAATGGGATTGGGCGTCAGCAATATCATTTAGAGTTGAGAATGGTTGAGACTGTAATTAAGCTCATGTACTTTACACTGTATTGGTCACTAACCAATGCAATGTAAGAACTTGTTTGAATTGCAATTTTTAGGAGTTTTCGTAAAAAAATGTGTAGTGTAATGATTTAACGTATGTATAATAAAAAAAATGATTGAAAAATGTGTTTATAAAAAGCACAAAAATTTATTAATTTGTGGGAAATTCTTACTGTTTCGTTTCTTGAAAAGAACATCCATAAGATGCTAGCTAAGGCAGATTTATTAGCCATCTGCATTCTTTTCAAACTTTTTTGAATTGCAACCTGGACATTTTTATTTGTTTTTCTTTCGTTTTTTTCTGTTTTGTTGTTCTTTTTTTCTATTTTTCTCTTTTGGGGCATGGGAGGAATGGAACATTACAAGACAGATGGAAAATAACACGAGTTACTTTTTGGCAAAAGTATTACTTGAAACTTTCTTAGATTTATTTGCAGGATACAACTCGTCCATGTACATTCATCCAAAGCACCACCTATTCTGTACTCTAAATTCTAGTTCATATGCATTCAACTTGTAAAACCCAGTTGAATTCCAGACTATGCTATCCGATGTACGAGGAAATGAAACAGTAATCTACATACAAGATAGTCGCACTTTATTGTGGAACAAATAGATCTTTATACTAACATTCACTTTGATAAACATCCATCACTTTAGATGTCTTCTTAGGATGTGATTTGACCTGTTCTGTTACTCCTAACCATTTTTTGACAAGTTCGAATACCTTTTCATCTCTTAATAATGCCCGGTGACTTGAAGCTACTCCTACTCTTTCCACTGCTTCAAAATTGTCTGCCTGCAGGATGTACAAAGTTTGTGTTTAGAGAAGCAGATAAGAGTGCCCAACACACAAAAGTAATGAGCTGCAGAAATTAAAGGAATTATATTTTATAGAGAAATCAAGAAATGCTTGTATGCTGTCTCACTAGACGCACAATATACTTGGGTGAGCCAGCTGCTTCTGATTAATTATCAACCAAAAGGGTCAATTCCACTAAACCTAGGACATATTCAGAGACACAAATCATCGTGACTACCACTAAGTATTACAAAAACAAGAGCTAAGTTTACTAACCTAACAAAGCCTTCTTTGACTGTAGCATGGAAGTATATATTGCTTGATCATGTTGGTAATTTAGTCATGCATATAATATCCCTCAGGCGTAAATACTGGCTAGAATGTTGTTCTGCAATTTAGCCATCGCTTTATATTGCCTCTGATATAAGGAAAATAAATCCACAGGATGAGATGTGGAATTTGGTCCCTGTAATACTCTTCTTCTTAACTCAGGACCTTCCTATGCGTTGTCATTTGCAGAATTGTAAAACGTGGAGATTAGCTCAAAATTCACCTCCTCCACCCTTCCCCTTCCCCGCCCCCCCCCCCATCCCCCCCCCCCCAAAAAAAAAGCCCAAATCATTATTGACAGTTATCATCTCTGTGTTGTGTCAAGGATTAGCAGAAATTTCAGCATCTGTGATCTTCTAATATGGAGCAGTTATATGGGGAGAGGTAAGGTAAAATGCCAAAATTTCAGGACTGTTTGTTAGAGGTACCTCTGGTGTAACTACTAACCAATAGATTGCATTGTTCTCTTTCTCCTATCCAGTTATTTACATTCATTTTCTTATAATTGTTAGTGTTTATGTTGGTAATTCAGGAAAAACCGATTAATTACCTTATCATCAAGATCTTCAGTTTCAGTTTGAGATTAACATTTTGGCTTCTGTTACCTAAACATTTTGACTTCTGTTTTTTATAATTCTTCTTTAGTCTCACCTACTTCTTCCCCTGGCCAAGGAAACAAATCTTTGAACTGCCAAAGTTCTCTAATTGGAAATCTTTACTTGACTATGATTCAATTATTAAGGGCTTATCTCTGTCAGACAAGAAAGGGGCAGCAGGAATGTGTTTAGCTTTGTATTTATGCTCATTTTTGGAAACATGTTTGACAATTGGCAGTGGTCATATGAACAGTGATGAATCAAGTGCGTGTCCAGTTTAAGTTTATGAAGGATAGACTAGTTTTCTCATACCAGAATTCATAAATTACTTTTCCAATCATAATGATGATGGAGGACTGTTCACTAGCTTCAAGTTTTCTAGGTGTTCCTTTCTTTCAGTTCCTCCTATACTGCATTTGGATGATCTGTGCATACTTAACTAAGTTAGCCAGAATTATTTCCACATCTTTACTTAAATTAAGTTTTACTGACCCTACCCATGGTTAATATTCAGAAGATTACTCGTATAAACTGCAGTTTCCTTTAAAGGTGGATCATAATTAGTTTTTGACATTCAAGCTCCATGTGCTTTATGTCTATAGGTCAGCATATCCCACCTAGGTTAAATTAAGCCTTCCGAGGTTTAATAACTGATTAAACTACAATGAGGAACGCATGCACAGATACATGGATTCTTGGATATCTCCGTGTCCAATTCAGGATCTTAAAGTATCAATAGAAGAGTTAAAAATTTGCACCTTCGCTGATTCCGCTGGGACAGTTCCATCGCCATCCACATACGAGTACTGAGGCTGAACAGGCATATAAAATAAGTAAATACATATTCATAAAGAAACAGTATGAAGCAGAAAGAAAATAAGTCATATTTCATGAACTTAATGGCCCAAAAATGAAAGTTAAGCCTATGGTGATGATGAACCCACGCGGTAGGAGGTCAAAGGTACTCTTTCGCAGTGAAAATAAATTAAAGAAACCAGTTAACCACAAAGGCTAAACCTGAATTTCAAGGATCTAAGATACAAGTTTTCTTTTTTTTTCCCCCTCTTCTTATCTTTCTTATACTTTAAATCATAGTAAAATTACAGGTTTTATAAACCTATGCGACAATTATATTAAGATTTGGAGAAAGGTGCAGAAACGGTACAAAATCTGAGCATCAGACTATCAAGAGACATTTCCCTCAAAAAAAAAAGACTATCAAGAGACAGCACAGCAAATTGTTGATGCACTTACTGATGTGTGGCATATCTCAGACATTTCCTCAATTGGAGAATCTTGTGTACCATAGCTGCAATAGGATGCAAACAAATGTGCACAAGAAATTCATCAATATAAGTCTCAGAAATATGGAATTCCATGAACTTTTTGCCATGATTCATCATCATGAAGATTATCTAATTTTAACCAAAAAATAATGAAAATATTTATTCTGGTGTACCAAATGAAGTTTGCATTTTACAACGTAAGAGTTAAAAGCCTAGCATGGAATTCTACTTAAGCACAGAGGATGGGATTCTAAAACATGCTGGTATCTTTTGCAGACAGATCTCACATCTAACTTGAGAAACTTCAGATGAATGATATATTAGCATAATGATATAGCACCAATTCGAAGAAAATTTCTTTCAACTTTCCGCTGCTTCCTTAGAAATGCAGATTTGTTTTTGTTTGGTTCAGCTTCCTAATATTATGGTTTTGGCAAGATCCGAGTTTGGAACATAAGTTTTTCCCTGGGGTCGTTTAATGTTATTCAAACATATTTGCAACCCATACCTTTGCACGCACCGCCACTTCTTTCAATTTAGGGCAAATTTTTGCAATGTCTTTTGAAGTGTATCTGAAGATTCCCGTAAGCATCGGATTAGTTGGGAGGAGATCAGTATCTGAGGGAGGCTTGGATGTCACAAATTTGCATCCCCATTGCTTTTAGTTTCTCTAGCTAAAAGTTGAATTTCATTTTTCACTTTGGAGTGTTCTAGGCAACATACTTATTGCAGAGAATTTTCCATTTCTCAAGCTGATCTTGCTGTGAGATGCATGCAACAACTGGAAAAGAATATCGGGCAAAATCTAATAGTGCAATCCTATAAAACCTGTTTTCTCAGAAAGAGTGATACTAATTTTTGGTGAGGAGGATGGACAACAGCAAAATTCTGAGCTAGAGATGTTCTCCTATTGGAACAACTAAGGTTGATTAAAAGTAATCTCATTTAGAATTTCAGACTAATCAAGCATGTGGCATGAGGAATTATCTTAATACTGCTATCTGGTATGCTAAAGAATTTTACGGAAGCTAATACAAGCTTATTGGGCTTAGGTGACATATTAATACACAAACTTTCTCATATAAAATTTCAACTTATTTTCAAATTTTTGTAGTGCACAACACCATTGAGAATTTAATTTTGGAAATTGAAAATTCTCAAGAGAGAGTTGATAAAATAGCTGTCAGAGAATATGAATTTCATGTCAATTTTCAAAGTTTTCTTAATTGCATAACAACGTTGAAGTTTTGATTTTCTTCATTCTAGGAAATCCTTTAGATACAGTAAGGATAGGAGCACATTAAAAAATGCTGGTAACTACCAGAAGCAGTGCACTGTCTGCGCAAACACCTACAATCTAACATCATGGATCAGAAAGTGTGCTATTCTATTAGTGCAACTAACTTTTCTATTTACTCTTCGCGGTTTTTGAATTAATGAATAAACAAAATCCATTACATTTAATTCATGTTGCTATTGTTACAAGTAAATAGGTAAAGAAATGTGGATTTACAAAGACAAGTCCTAGTAATAGCATTAAAAGTTAGTCTGGTGGATATTAGTGATTACATTGATACAAAATTACTAATCTAATGAGATCCCAATAGTTTGATAGAATGTAGAAATCTTAGGAAAAAGATGCATTTACTCTTTGATTGGCCCAGCAGAAGATAAGTTCAATACAAGCTATTTTTTTGAAAGAATATCTAAATCCATAGAACTCACTCGTACTTCTGCATATTCTACAACTACTTGGATGACCTGGAAATTCATTCTTCCCAGATAAATGACTATCTAAGTAAGGTGTAATTTGGATATGTAGCATTAAAAGAGAAGCAGAATGCATATACCAAATTGCAAGGAACAGACACAATCTAGCTAATAGCTTTAAACAGAATTTCTGCTAATGGAACAGATATTTGTGGGAAATATCACCATCAAAATATTACGAATCTATCCAGTCTATATTTACTCTAGCACGTAAAGAAGTAATCTGCTGGTAGAAATATAAACATGATGAAGTAGGTTGGAGTAGAGAGTAAACTGTAGCCTCAGTAAAGGCACCATCCATAAAACTCATCATCATGGGCTCAATTCACAGCGCTCTTCTTTCCCTGAATGCAATATTGAACGCAATCCTTCCCCGTCTCCCTCAAAAAAAAAATGAAAATCGCCCTAAGCCAAACCCCATAGATTTATCTTTATTGGTGTCAGCATTGCAAATCATAAAAGTCTGACATTAAATATCAGCAAGAAGAAAAAATAACAGTTTCCATCTTTTAAAATCTCACTCATACTGGAAAAGAAGATGCTATGAATCACATACCAAACATCAAGAGGCGTGTCATTAGATATCCCATAGATGTTGTAGAAAGCAATGCCTTTTGGAAGTTGAGCACTATTGAGAATTTGGCGAGTACCATTAGCCCATTTAAGAATGGAAAAGTTGAAAGGTAGAGCAAATTTCTTGCCTTCATAATCAAGCTGCAATGTCAAACACAGAATTCTGTAAATGATTCATAGGTTGCTAAGCCAGCAAACACATAGATGAGCTCTAAGTGCAAGTGCCAAAGGTCACAAACCATTCGAGGATAAGTATAGTTCAATTATTATACTGGGAAAAAAAAAGTTTCTTTCTACTAGTGGGCACTACAACCGCCAGGAAAATGACAACCAGGCTGGCAGATCACTACATCAACAGCACTTAGGAAATGGAACATCATTTGCAATTCCAGAAGAGAATACTTCCATAGAATAGTAAAATCTAGCATACAATATCAAGGCGCCAGTTATAAAACCAAAATTTTGCCTCAGAAAGATAACCAGCTAAGAGGCACGAGTATGATTGCGTGTCTTTGAATGATGTTGGACCTACTAGTTTTGAACTAACAAATCTACTTTATTGACATAAATTAGGGCAAAAGCAAAGAGTTTTAACACAATCTATTGGTATATCAAACAATCCTACAACAACATCCTATATGAGAAATCATATAACAGATTAAAGACATTATTGTTTAGGAGATAAAGTTGGTAAATAATCTCAAGTAGAAGATCATGGAAGGAATTGCATATACAGAATGGGCTTTCAGGACTAATTTGGTGCAGCATTAGTAAGGATCGAGTATAAGAGAAGAAGGGAGACAATAAAGCAGAAAAGAGGTTGAGAAGAAACAATCAAGTTTCCTGATCCCTCAACAGATTGTCCAACTCTCAGAATTTCTCTTAAGAGAGTCAAAGCACAAGCCTTAGTCCTTAATTCAAGTTGTAAATGATATCGAGTAGTATGAAAAAGTCTTTGAAGTTCGGCAAAATGAAAGACTAGTTAAGTAAATTACCAATTGCAAATATCAACAAGATCAAAATCTTGGTAAATTTAATGTTGTCGCATGTGTGTTTAACTTTAAACCGACGCACCATCTCAATATGCTTACTTGCCAAAAGCTGGTAAAAAAAAATGACACTATTAAGTGGTTATATGTTATATCTGAATGACATAGACTAATGAAATTGTCTTATAATGCCATGCCATTTTTAAGTCTTACCACGTCTTATCAGGTTTTGTTAATACATGTTGCATTTATAAATAAAACAGTTTTTTCTTTCTTTAAAGATTTTATTCCTAGTCTGTCACATCTAGAGTCAAGAAAGTTTGATGAACGTCCTGATGACATGAATCTTGTTGTGCAGAGTATTTTACGCTAAATTAGCTTGAAATGTGACTCTTCTTCATCATCAGATCAATCAATTTTGATCTGGAAAACATTTTTAGTCAGTACATAGATTATATTATTTATTTCTGACTCCAGCTTCAATTAACTCCAAGCTAAATAACATAAACGAGAAACTTAAGGAAAAAAGGGGAAAAAATTAAATCTAGGAGAATTTAATTTGTTGCAGGTAAATGAAGTCAAATGAAACTACCTCATTATGCTTCAATGCTTCCTCAAAAAGAGTCATACTGTCAGTTGGACCATAGGATTCCAGAACTACTGAAGTTTCCCCACCTTCTTCTGATTTTGATCGCCAAACCAGAATTTCAGGTTGCTTTTTCCACTTGAACCATGGGTTTGGTAACATCTCATAGATTGAAGGGCACTCCACTACCTATATATGACAGAAACTTTTCTAATTTACATCTTAATGGGAACCAGACACTTGTAGCCAAACATTATCAGGAAATGTCAACTCAATCAGGAGATGTTTATTTACAGCAAATTTATTGGTTTAATGTAAAACATTTCGGCAAAGATGTAATTGCAAAATTAGCCGGTCTAGCTATTAATATTTAGAGGTTGTTAAAAATCTTGTGCTAATGGAGAAGACTTGAGACCAGGAAGGTAGATTACCAATTGATGCATCGACCATCTCGATACAAAAAAGAAGCTTTTAAAACCATCAACAAACTGCAATCCAGTTAACAGAGAATCATTGACGCAGCCAGGTGCACCTATTTATCATGTTTTAGAGTAAGTATTCAAGCAGACTTGAGAGCCCCAAAAAAAAAAAGATAGTTAAATTGAATAGTATTCAGACCATAGAACATGTTAAGTTGATCTACATATTTCCGGGTTATGGAGTAAATGTTCAGATCCATCTCTAATATCAGTGACAATTAGAGCGAAGAAATGTGAATTGATTATCCTAGATACACAAATTCCAAATATTTCAGAGACCTTGTAGTTGCAAGTATATACCGTGGAATCCAAATTCTGAACATCAAGAAAACAAAGCAATTATCCTCTTGAGCTTCAATCTTACAATTTGGAGTAAGCTGATAATAAATGAAGATCAAGGGCAGAACTCAAAGAAACCAGAAAAAGTAGCAAACAATTAATCCATTTCTTAACCTGAATTCCTAGATGTGTTTGGTTTTACTAGGCATTGCTCTGAAATCCAGTCATAAGAAATGTAGGACAAGCATCGGAAAGGGACAAATAATTGCAATATGGCAAGTTAGCAAGCCTAAAAGCAGAGTAAAAAAAATCACCTTGAAAAGGGGTTGCAATGGTAATCCACTTATTAACATACTTGGTAAACACCTACATGATACATATGAGCAGATTCCATAAGCAGACAGGATATGAATGCAGATTTATCACTAATAGGCCAAAAAACTGATATAATTGATTTATTACAGGAAATTAAATTTTGTACTGAATATTCATGATCCACAAGTTTCTATAACATCTCATTTAGGAGATTTTCAAGGGTTCTGGCATTAAAGGCCATTTCATTTTTTCCTTCAAACAAAATCTATTGTATGTCCTTACAGATGATAAATTAACCTGGTCTCACCGCAGGGATTTTAACCAGCTTTATCCTTTTTTCTTGAAAGTTGGCACAAACCTTCCCCCTAGATGTATGACAGCCATATTTCCCAAAAATGATAGCCAAAGTAATGCAACAAAAGAAAGTTCAAGGGTATCGAAACTAAAACAATATTGAAGAAAGTCCAAACTTTCAAGAAGTATGCAGTTAACATTTTTGTCTTCCTAATCTGGCCAACCATATTTTACATTCTAACTACAAGATTTACATGTTTTATACATGCATACTTTGATAACCGCTGAAAATTGATTAAAGTTATCATTTGGTCATATAGACCTCTTTCTGAGAGTGCTTGGTCTGTCCCAATCTCAAAATTTGCAATCCTGTCAGCATTATTATGTCAGCTTGAAAGCTCCAACATCAGATTTGGTACTAATGATGCTAAGACTCCCCATGGTTATCCAGTACGACTAGCACCAATATTCTATATATTATTTATTGATTTTCTAGCTATACTTTGAAAATTCACAACAATGGGATATACTATTTAACATCCAGACCTAGTAAAGGGTTCATAAGTGGTTAAAAGAAGAACAGGTAAACATTAAGATAACTCGAACTGCATGCACCATTATATTTTTTATTCGAGGAAAGATTACAAAAAGAGATCGTTGACAACATTCATATCTCCACAACCTTTCATTGCGAGGTTTTTATGTGAAAACAATGATGTTCAAGGGGGAAATCCAAGAAAGTGGACCAAAACGGAAATAAAACATTCATATCTCCACGCCCTTTCACTCTTGTAGCTGCAAAAAATGCATATGAAGAAATATAAGTTTTTTCTTGTCTAATGTGTAGGATTAGACAGATAGCTATCTTTTCATGCGCTCCATGCAAGTTATGATTCGACAGGTAAATAATGAACCTCTACGCTAATAAGCACACCAGGAAGCTTTACATACATCATTATGAAGATACATGAAACATGTCACAAGCAATCCACCCATTGAGTGTGAAATTAAATTGACTTTTCTTCCTCCTGAAGCTTCATAAGCAGTTTCTAGCTTAGCTTTGAGGCCATCCATTGCCTTGTCAATTCTGCAATATACAACATAAGGAAGCATTTAGCAAGAATTCACATAGCTTTAAAAGAACAAATTGAAAACTGAAAACAGAAGATCTTGGAATTGGCTGATTACAGTACTCAGATAACTGAAAAACACTTTTACAATCTTAGTTTTATGACAACTGAAACTTCCACTTGCTGACAAAAGATACCTATTGCTTTGTCGGAAGTCGAATCCATGGCCAAACAATGTAGTTCCCTTCTTATACCCACATTCAACAAGCATATCAATCATATCATGAAAATGGTATACCTCAGTCAAATGTAGAATCTTCACCCACTGCAACAGTAAAGCAACTGCATATGAGTTACATACACAAGTAACATATTATATTGGACTACTCAGTAAAGGCAATCAATCATGAATGAAAAGGAACAGTGACAGCGAGAATTACCCAAGTTCAATAGCTCATTACCATTTACTCATAATAATTTTGGGGAAGGATGATTAAAATGTGGTAACAACTACTATAAGTTTTAACCTAATGAACTTGCACATAATTTTGCAAAACCACACTTTGTCCTCTTATATATCCAGAGGAACTTTACTATAAGAGAACTAATTTTTAAACTTTTTTCCCTATTCGATGATCCAGGTTAAAGAAATCAGACCCAATACTGATTTTCTGGCATTCTAGGTAGGCATATGCACTACCAAAAAGCTCCTTTACTAATACACTTAAGCATCTTTCTTCTTCTTTTTTTTTTCTTTTCTCACAAATATAAAAGTCTTCAAGCAAAGTGAGCACTATATGAATATTGTTAAGACATACAAACATTACTAAATTGATCAAATTTTCCTTTTAAAATATTTTGGAAAGGGAGCTGAAAAAGGAACAGAGACAGCGAGAATTAAACCCTCGTTCCCAAGCCAGTAAAAAGGTTCTTAACCGTTGGTTATATTCGATTCCGGAGTCAAGTAACTTACTTGAGCATACCAACTCAGTTAGCATTAAATGAACCTTAGCCATTGTGCTATATCCAATTTTAGGCAGGTTAATAAAGCATAGCTGAATCTTAGTTCTGAAAACAAGCAACGAATACCTTCAAATCAAGCAACTTAGGCGACCATAACTTGCAAAATCTTACCAGTGCAGGGTCCAAAATATCAATAGCATACAGCCCATAATCATCTTCCGGCACGACTATTTCAATACTATCATCCAAAGATTCTACATAGCCTGTAAAAACATCATCCCGAGTAAGAAAACAGAGGCAAAAGTTTCAGAATCAGAACTTTAAGAACAAAAGCCATGTTCATTGAATATGAAATCCCACCAAAAATTTTTAAAAAATAAAAGAATTATTACCGGTTTCAGGATTGTAAAGGGACCAAATCTCCTTCCTGAACTCAAAATCAGCTAGAAGTAAACGGACCCAGACACGGCTCTCGAACCCGAAGAAGTTCTTCTTCTTAGAGTGAAGAATGGAGCCAGCAATGCCGGACACCAGAAGGACGGGATCACGGTCGGCAGGCTCGTCGTCAGATCTCTGGCCATTGAAGCAGCAGCAAAAGGGGCTGTCGAGCATGTTTCAGTGACCGGTGCCGTTGGAAAGCCGGGCGGATGATGTTTCGGGCGGGTCTGGTTTGGTCCTGGAAATTTTTGGAGGGAGTTGTTAAAAGAAGAATGGGAAGGGTAGGCAATGTGGTTATGAACTGTGATCAGTGTGTATTATCATGGAAGTTTGAAAAATGGGTGCCTAAGAGCATGGGCAGGGTGGACTTTTTGGAAGAGAAATTTGATTTTGCTGCTTATCTGTCCAAATTTTTGTGATGATTTCTTCAGTCACCTTATCCACTGTTGATCTTGACGGATCCTTTCCTTTTCATTGCATGGTTAGTAGCAAGTCAAATCCAATTTTCGGCTTGCAGGATATAAATAGTTAATTAATTTCTTGGACTATTTATCAAGTAGATTGTGGGTTCAAGTTTAACTTAGCTATAGTGTATATATATATATTTTTTTAATAAACAGAAGCCAATATTATTGATAAAATAATTGAAAATGGTTCAGTATAATTTGCTTAACCAAAAAAAAAAAAAGCTACACTAGTAGCTGAAAAATACATAAAATATGTCACAGATATATATATAGCTTTTAGGACATAAATAATTAATTAATTTCTTGGACTCAGTAATCAGCTTAGACTGTGGGTTCAAGTTTGACTACATGTGAATTGTTTAACTCAGCTATAGCATTTTTAATAAACAAAAACCAATATTATTGGAATAATAAACTAGTTTTGAATCGTTCGTCAGGATTTACTTGACAAAGAAAGCTGCACTAATGACAGAAAACACGTAACAACATTTGTAATTGGTACTCTTGTGATGGTGATGAGCCACTACAAATTGTTGGATGTGTTTTTCTTTTGGCCATTTTTCTGCATTCCTTTTTTTTTGGTATATGGACAAACATGCCTACTCTTTGTTTAGTTTTTTTTTTTTTTTGATTAATTGGCACTTGTCTACCTTACATCTACTCCTACTTCTATTCTAACTTATTGTAAGAAAAGGGCCCGACTTGGTCTATTGGGGAACCGACGGAAACTGAATCACCATCGGACCAGACGGATGCACCCGTATAGATTTAAACAATTAAAAGTGACAAGTCATATATAGTGACAATTGATAAAAGACAAGATTTGAATCATTAACCTTCCACCCCATCAAACATCCAAACCTTAAAAGGCTATAGTGGTGACCAATTGGTTCTTTGTTTAGTATATCATGCCACTCTTTTTTTTTTTTTTTTGGTAGTGCTAATGAAGGGATGGGACATTTAAGGCCTTGCTTGGATTGCTGTTTTCCGTAGAAAAATTTCATCATTTTCCGTGAACACATTTCCCTATTACCTTTTTTCCTCACATACATCAAATCGCTACAGTATTTTTTCCATGAAAAATGACGGAAAATGCAATCCAAACGGGACCTTAATGTTGCAAGACATTTGTAGCAGGTATGGTGGTTGAACATACAAGAAGTCTTGCCCGTTGTGGTCATTGTTCTTTTTCTTGCAAAACGTGAACTTTAGCAAGCTCAAGAATCAGGATTAGGCTGATTTTAGGGTGGTGGCGGTCGGTGGGTAGTTACATTTTCGTGCAAGGAATTTCTACCACCTTCTTCTCAATTCCTTCAATCAAATGGGCACGCTGTATAGGTCCACCTGGTCTTAAGTATCATTTTGGTAGATACTGATTGAAGGACAAAGATGTGTTAATCGAATGGAAACTGGGAAAGCATCAGGGTGGGGATATCCTTTGGGATCCTTTTTCGCCCTTTCGTGTTTGCACTTTTCAATCAGAAAAGGACGTCAACTAAAGAAAGATCAAGAATATTGGTGATCCCATCCACTCGAAAACATATTTGCAAAATGAATTCAATTCTTATACGATAGTTTGTCGAGCTAGACATGTCCACGTTCTTCCAAATAAACTGTATATCTTTCATCATGTGGACCTCTTCAATATTTGTATTTTTTTGATTCTTTAATATGTTTCATAACAATTACTAATTCCCTTCCTTTTTCAATTCTTTATTTATAGTAACTTTCAATCAATTTATTAATTTTAACTTTATATGTATATATTTGTATCAATTATGACTTATTAAATTTAATTTTATCAATCAAACTTATAGTCTTTCTTATCTAAAATCTTTCAACAAATTATCTGTAGTCTCGTTTAAGTAACGGGTTAAGAACTAACTATTTACTAAAATGATGAAAAGGAAAATATTAGTTGTCCTCTACTTTTTTTTATAATGGTACTGTTACTATTTGTCTTATCATATAATCTAATAAATGAAAATCATATGATAAAAATAATAGTGCGAGTGTTATTATAAAAAAAAAACAATTACCATTTTCCAAACCAAAAAAAAGGATATTTGGTACCTTACTTCATGCGACAAATGCAGCCATGCAAGTAACAGTACAATTCATTCCATTCCACTCCTCTGTGAGTTGCATTTGGTTATTGCTTGTTATACCTTAATGATATTGAGCAAAAAGATTTTTTTTTTTTGTGTACGACTGGTTAAACCTTCTAAGTCTTGTTTTGTGTGTGTGTGTCTGTCTTTGTTTGTATTTTTTTTTCCTTTTTTTTTGTTAAGTGATTTTTTTAAAAAAATATGTTCAATTGTGTGAATATATATTTTACCTTCTGAGCTAAGCAGAGTTTTACAGATGGGTAGAGGGCTAGAGGCAACCAAGCTCAAAAGTCCTCAACCGAGTTTTTGGTAGCTTTTTTGCATTCAAAGATAATATGTGCTATTTCACATAAATTCTTTATCAACATGTTTCACGTTCCACCAGAAACTTTTGGCAGAACTGAAATGTGGCAACCAAGTTTTCCACCAACCTAATTTTTTTGTTGACAAGGAGCTCGCAATTGGTACCCGAGAGTGTGCACTGAATAAATTTCGTCCGTGCAATGATCCGCCAACCACACGAAAGGTTTCCACCAACCAAATTTCTGTTGCCATGGAGCCAGTCAAGGTCCATGTGCTTGCAGGCTACTTTCTGAGTTGAATCTTTAACTTCCAGCCATGGATTTTCTTGCATGGCTTTTATCTGAGTTGATTATGTAAAGTGGCCTTGTTTGGACAGCAATTTTTCAAAGAAAAATTGTTACGTTTTCATGAACATATTTTCCAATCATCTTTTTATCTCACATATATCAAATTACTACAGTAATTTTTTTTCTAAAAATATCTAGAAAAATGCAATTCAAACAAGGTTGCTTGAATCTTGACATCCAGTTCCAGCCATGGACTTTCTTGCATGGCTTTAATTATGTGGCATTGAATGCTTGGCGTCCATTCTGACAATGTTGTTATGAATGGTCTCAACCTTCTTTGACATTCGTTGCAAGCTAGATCGGCCACAATGACAATTGGTACCATCGCTCGTAGATTTTCTAGAGCTGAATTAATCACTGCTCAATATCAATTATTGATTCTGTGGTCTCAAATTGTCGAGGACTTCATCCTCGATGTTCTCTTTCTGTGTTCTAGTTGGAGCCCGAAAATGAATTAAAGAAAAATTAATTTGTGATTTGGACTTGAGAGACAATAAATAGGAACACTACTGTATTGTTTTGGCATAAAATGTGCAGAATATGTTGAGATAAATAAATACGCGTATTTCTCACTTGTCATTTTATTATGAAAAGTTTAATTTCCTTTTCTCTGATATGTTTGATGTTCTTGGAAGCCGAGTGAATGGGAGGGAGGATTAGGTTGAATGATAAGATATGAAGAGTTGTAGTTAAAAAATGTTGAATTCAAATCTTTTCACTCAAAAAAAAAAAAAATTCGAGTGAATTAGTGGCCAATGCCACAATGCGGCCTAGATTTTATCCTTCCCTGAATAGGATAATTCAAAATCAATTTCACTTTTCCCTTCAAAGTGTTGACATTTTGTCCCTATAACTAGTTTGGGAGTTTAGAATAGGAAGGAAAAGAAGAGAAATGTTAAGTTATGAAAGAAAAGAAAGGAAGAGAAAAGAAGGAAAAATATTTTAATATTGTTTGAAAGTTTAGGTAAGAAATGGAATGATTCGTGATATATATGTCAATAAAAATTTGTTCAATACACAATGAACATTTTAAAAAAATTTTGTTAGGCTTTCTCAACTTTCTTTTGCTTTTCGGCCACGTTTGGACGGAAAAGTATAACAACCATAGCATCAACATACCATCCGTCCAAATCCTTTGGTTTCCTTTCTTTTCTATCTCTCAAAAATTCCCAAACGGCAGAAAGAACGTTTTTGTTCTCATTTCCTTTCTTTTCTTATCAAATCCAATCTTCCAAACTAGCTATAATTTTGTACGTGTGATGATTGAGTACCTAATAAACGTTTATATGTTTTTGGCTTAAATTAGCGATTAATTATTCATTATTAAAGAATAAAATTTCACGATTAAACATCAATTATTGAAACTTGACGAATCTATTACCGTATAAAGTCGGGGGTACTTTCATTCTTTATGACTAATATGCTAATCATGTTTACGAGTTTTACTTTTAAGAGCTAGCGTTCACCTATCAGTTGAGTAGATTTGGTAAAAGAAGAGGAAATGTCACACCAAAAATTTTAGGTGCAAATTGTTCAGACCTCAACATTTGGGAAATTTATTGAGTATAACACTTGGTTATTTATTGAACTCATTTTTGCTTTTATACATTATGATATATTTTTTCTCTAGATAAGGTACAATACTATCTCAAATTTGGTAAAGGAGTTCTTCAAGATTAAAAAAAACGCACACACATACACACATGATACATGGAAAGTAACAAGTACAATTACAAACCTTGGTAATAACCATAAAATCATTACTTAAAAATAATAATACAAACTTATCGCATAACCACCACTACATTTTGCACTAAAGTCTGGACCTTATTTGTGATCTGAGTGAATACATGCAAGACTCTTGGGAATGTTATAAGATAAAGGGCATGGGTGGAGGCAAGAAGGATCTTTGAGTGATCGATTACTTTGATGGGAAGATGAACCATATGCCCTTGTCAAAGAATGGGGCCTCTAAGATGTGCCTTTCATATTCTTTTATGGGCCTTAGCATCTAATACTCGCTATTCACCTACATCTTTGAACCAGGTAGGAGTTTTGTATTAGATTCGGATCCTCTCATTCCTTCCTTAGATATTGTACTTTGTCATATATCTTTTTTTTGGTTTGGTAGGAGGGCTTTAGACCC